GCCTGGTTTTGGCTGAAGATATTGAGATGGATTGTACTGATAGGTGTCCCTAAACTGCTAACCAGAAGGCTGGCAGTTCAAACCCACCAGCCACTCCTCGGAAGGCTGGGCAATAAACTTCCATTGATATCGCCTGGGAAACCCAAGGAGGGGTCGCTATGAGTTGGATCTGACTTGACAGTAGTGTGTTTGGTTTTTGGTTTAGACAGGTGTCTTAAAGTAGAAGTGTAAAGATACAGTTCCTGATCTCAAAGAGATTGTACCAAACAGGGTTTGTGGTTGGGTTGAAAATCAGCCAAAGATAAGTCAAATATTTTCAGTTATTAGAGAAAGTGCATTTGAGGCAGAATGTCAGAAGTGACTGAAATCAGATGTTGTTCTTGTTAGGTGCCATCAAGTCATCTCCGACTCATAGCGACCCTATGCACAGCAGAATGAAACACCTCCTGATCCTGTGCCAGCTCAACAATCCTTGCTATACTTGAGCCTGTTTAAGAAATCAGATATTAGAGTTTCTTATTTAAGTATTTGAAGACAAGTATTTAAGACATCGCAGTAGTGATATGAATGTAAATAAACATAAATCATCACACATTCATAAGATACCTTTTTATTTTGTTTCAGTACCAAAATGCTGAAATATATTTTTTAAAAGAAAATTTAATCTCTGCTCTTTATTTTTTCCTTATGTTAAAAATTCTGTGTAAAATTCCAACTAAGAGCATTGTTGTTGTTGTGTTGTTAAGTGTGATCTAGTCATTTCTGACTCATAGTGACCCCATGCACAGCAGAATGAAACACTGCCTGATCCCGTGCCAGCTCCATGATCCCTGCTATACTTGAGCCCATTATCACGTTTGGCTGAAGATATTGAGCTTTTCCATTATCTCTTGCCATAGATGTACTCAATATGATTACTGTGTACTCCATCTGATGAAATCCATGTGGCTAGCCACCGTTTGTGTTATTGAGAAAAGGTATTTGCACTGAATAAGTTGTTGGTCTTGCAAAATTCTATTATGCAATCTCCAGCGTTATTTCTGTCACCAATGCCAAAATTTCCAACTACTAGTGATTCTTCTTTGTTTCCAATTTTTGCATTCCATTCACCAGCAATAAGCAACACATCTTGATTGCATGTTTGATCAATTTCAGACTGCAAAAATTGGTGGAAATCTTCAATTTCGTCATCTTTGGCTTTGGTGGTTGGTGCGTAAATTTGAATAATAGTAGTATTAACAGGTCTTCCTTTTAGGCATTTGGATATTACCCTGCCACTGATAGAATTGTACTTCAGGACAGATCTTGAAATATCTTTTGTGATGATGAATACCATGCCATTCATCTTCAAATTGTCATTCCTGGCATAGTAGATCATATGGTTGTCTGATTCAAAATGGTAAAAACTGGTCCATTTCAGCTCACTAATGCCTAGGATATCAATCTTTATGTGTTTCATTTCATTTTTGACAACTTCCAATTTTCCTAGATTCGTACTTCATACATTTAATGTTCCAATTATTAATGCATGTTTACAGCTGTTTCTCCTCATTTTGAGTCATGCCACATCACCACATGGAGGTCCTGAAAGATTTACTTTATCCATATCATTAAGGTTGGTTCTATTCTGATGAGGCAGCTCTTTCCCAGTCCTATTTTGAGTGCCTTCCAACCTAAGGGGCTCGTCTAACTGCACTGTGTCAGACAATGTTTTCAGGCTGTTCATAAAGTTGGCCAGTAATGTATCAGGCTGTATGTATCAGTAGTGTTTCTCTACTATTCATAGGTTTTCCCTGGTCATTTTTTGAGAAGTGGATGGCCTCTTCCTTCTTCTTAGTCTGTCTCAGTCTATAAGCTGCATTGAAACCTGTACACC